ATAGCAAGACCTCATCTCTACCAAAAATTTAAGAAAAATTTTAAAAAGAAGGGAAAAACTGTTTCTGGAGAAGTATGCTTTCCCATGCTCTGTCATTTGGTGTAATTCTAACAAGAAATTTGTAAGACAAAATACATATTTTTCTCATATTTACAAATGATGAAATCAAGGGTTAAGTGAAGGAAAATGCGTAAAATCACAGTAATTAAATATGGAAACCTTAATCCCAGGTTTGTCAGACTCCAAAGCCCATGGTCTTCTCATATTCCATTTTTTGGAGGAAGTTGGTAGACTGCCCTTCTAGTTTCTAAACCTAAGAAGTGTCTAGGTCATTTGAATAATGATCTTTACATGTTGTGGCTAGAAATATAGTTTACATAACTAAGGGTTCTATGTGATTTCATTTTAGCAGTCAATGTACCTTATATATGCTTACCTCAGATACAGGTTCTTTTGCAAGTTGGAATCAGTTTTAACAAGTGAAGAGTGCTGAAATGAAATCTGTTATTAAGCATACTTTTTTTTTTTTTTTTTTTTTTTGAGACAGAGACTCGTTCTGTCGCCAGGCTGGAGTGTAGTGGCACGATCTCGGCTCACTGCAACCTCAGCGTCCCAGGTTCAAGTGATTCTCCTGCCTCAGCCTTCTGAGTCTGGGACTACAGGCGCGTGCCACCACGCCCAGCTAATTTTTGTCTTTTTAGTAGAGACGGGGTTTCACCATGTTGGCCAGGGTGGTCTCAATCTCTTGACCTCGTGATCCGCCCGCCTTGGCCTCCCAAAGTGCTGGGATTACAGGCGTGAGCCACCGCACCCGGCCTGTTAAGCATACTTCTTATTCAGAACTTTAAAACTCCTTGAGGCAGAAACTCTTTTCATATGTCCTTGTTCCTACAGTCCTTAGCCTAATGCCTGGTACTTGAGTACCAGGAATTGAGGCCAGGTGCGGTGCCTCACACCTGTAATCCCAGCACTTTGGGAGGCTGGGACAGGCGGGTCACTTGAGGCCAGGAGTTCTAGACCAGCCTGGGCAGCATGGCGGAATCTGCTCTCTACCAGAAATACAAAAATTAGCCAAGCATGATGGCATGTGCCTAATGCTGAGACATGGGAATCACTTGAACCCGGGAGGTAGAGGCTGCAGTGAGCCAAGGTCATGCCACTACACTCCAGCCTGGGCGACAGAGCAAGACTGTGTCTCAAAAAAAAAAAAAAATTATGGAATTGTATAAAATTAATAAATTGAAGATTAACTAGCATGAACAATTTTATATCCTTGAAATCAAGAATCATGAAATAAGTTCCTTCTCTTCTGCTATGTGGCCCCCTCTTCCATTCCATTTTCCTGTTATATATAGATAGCCTCATTCCGATTTACTACCACCCCTGCCAGCACATACTGGCTCTTTCATGTATGAAACTGTTCTTTCATGCATGCGTTTTGAAAAAAGATCCAGGTGTGGGGGGTCAAAGAAAATTATAACAATAAGATAAACATGGTGATGTCTACAAGGAGTTTATCCATCTAAAAAAATGATTCTATCATTTTTCTGTTACTGGTTGATTTTCAACAAGTTTGAAAGACATCTTTAGTCTAATTTAAGACATAGATTGTAAGCTATATATGAAATTAACTTTGATTGGCTCTGGTGGGGAAGACCTTAAAGTTCTTGAGAGAACTTTAAACTGGGGTACAATGAGAGGCTCATGTAATTGCTAATCTGTAGAAAGCCACCATATAAAAGTTCCATGATCAGAGAAAACTACTTTTTTTTGTTGTTTTTTATTTTTTTTCTTTTGTTGAGACAGGGTCTCACTTTGTTGCCCAGGCTAGAGTGCCATGGTTCAGTCACAGCTCACTGCAGCCTTGACCTGCCAGGCTGAAGTGATCCTCCTATCTCAGTCCCCCGAGTAGCTGGGACTACGGGGGCATGCCACCACACCTGGCTAATTTTTTCAATTATTTTTTGTAGAGAAAGAGTCTCTGTGTTACCCAGGCTGGTCTCGAACTTCTGAGCTCTTGCTAATCCTCTTGCCTTGGCCTCCAGAAGTGCGAGAATTACAGCCATGAGCCACTGCACCTGACCAACAGTACTTTTATATAAAACCCATATTGACAATCACAAGGGTAGAAACATTGGATTTGAAGTTTTGGTTTGTAATTAGTTACTATTCATGTAAGTAGAGGTATATAATATGCTCCCATTTAGGGATTTGCTAATTTAAATATGATTAGTGATTTTCCAGGGCAAGGCCTTCTCAACCAGCTGTTGGCAAAATAAAAGGACACACTGGCTCTGCTGTATGAAGGAGAACCACCTTAGTGTATTCTTTTTTCCAGCAACCCAAGAATTACATTGACTTTACTTTTGGGATAGGAGGCTTATTGTTTCATGGCATCAGGCATGTGTGAGAAGTTGCTGATGACTTCTGGAATCCCAGTAATGATGAAAGCTATATAAATTCTAAGAGTTTAGTAGAAAATTGGGAGATCTACACAGGTCAGAGAGAACAGCTGCAGTTAGAGCTATTATGTAGGTTGATGTTGCAAAGAAGGAACTAAAATTGGCACAGATAGGAATGTGTGAGCACCTTTGGCTTGCTGATCATTTCAGAGCCTATGGAAATGGGAACTGAGTGTTCCTGAATCTATGGGAATGCAGTTGGTCACTTTCAGACTTTGTGTTGTTTGAAAGAAAAGAATGTTTCATATTTCATTTGGGAGGCTACATCAATATCGTTTGCAATTGGTCTCAAATAAATGGCATTGAACTTGTTGGTGAGTTTTTAAGACAGTTTTTGACCGCATAATTTCTTATCTTCCTAGTATTTAGTAAATAAATCCCAATGACTCAGTGTCATTTAAATGAGTGAAATGGAGGTGGTATATGGCAGTATATAAGTGATTATGATGGAGAGTTTCCTGAAGGGATTAGTTAAATGAAGTTTAGCCGATGTAAGTTTTGTGAGTTGCCAGTTGAAGAGATGGGAGACTATGGAATTGAAGCTGCAAGATTGTTCAGTTGGTATAAGTCTTACATGGAAAAGTGTGGCCACAGGAAAGTCAGAAAAGGCAAGTTTGGCCAGAGAAGATAGTGTGAACTAAAAGTAGCGTATAAGAATAAGATGATGATATTAGAAAGTAAAATTAAACGAAGTTTTGTATTCCTAATGTAGATACGGCCCTAAGTCCGCATTTCATTCTGAGGTTTCTTACCTTTGCGCACATATACATAAATACACAGAAGAGAGATTAGAAGAGGCAACATTAGAAGTGGCAAGACAGCATAGAAGAAAGCAAGCCAAATCAAGGGTGAGAAAACCTGGTTTTAGCATTAACTGTCTGACTTTAACAAGTTGATTCAGACCCAGCAGATTAAATTTGGGTTAATTAGGAATTTAACCAGCTAAAAGACAGCTTTTGTTTTGATTTTCTGCCACAGATTGTAAAGCCTACAAATTGGATTTGAGAATATGAATGGTCTCCTTTTCCAACTTTGTAGCCCTGATCATTGTTAACAATTGCATGTTAAGTCATATTATAGAAATTTTGAACACTTTGTATTGTTTTCTTGAGTATAGCTCTGCCGTAATGAGTAGGTAGCTGGTAAAAGTGTGTTCTGCAAAAACTGAAAATAAAGCCATTGAAACAAGTATATTGACTGACTTACGTGTTGAATTTGAGGGGCCTGCACAAGTGAAAAAATGTAGGATCCAGAAAGACAGTTAGAGTACAGATACCTCGGCCCCATTCTCCCAACTTCTCAGTCTGGTGATGGGGCTCAGAAATTATTATTTAAAAAGTAAAAAAAGAGGCTGGGCACGGTGGCTCACGCCTGTAATCCCATCACTCTGAGAGGCCGAGGCGGGTGGATCACCTGAGGTCAGGAGTTCAAGAACGACCAGCCTGACCAACATGGTGAAACCCCGTCTCTACTAAAAATACAAAAATTAGCCGGACGTGGTGGCTTGCGCCTGTAATCCCAGCTACTTGGGAGGCTGAGGTAGGAGAATCGCTTGAACCTGGGAGGCAGAGGTTGCAGTGAGCCGAGATTGCACCTTTGCACTCCAGCCTGGGCAACAAGAGCGAAACTCCGTCTCAAAAAAAAAAGTAAAAAAAGAATGATTCTGGTTAAAAGCCAGATTTGGAAATCACAGACTTGAGTCTACTCATGAGCAGCTCTAAGTGCTATCTGTCATTTTATTTTAGGAATGTTAGGAAAGCTTCTGTATCCTTTTTTAGGCTGTGGTAATGGGTTGGAAAGCTTCTTACTCCCAGAACAGTAGAGCCATGAAATTACTGAATTAGAGGTTCCGTTAGAGATTGCCTAACATTCATTTGTTTATGTATCATCTATGGCTGCTTTTATGCTACAATGGAGGAATTATGTAGTTGCAACAAAGACATATGGGCCAAAAAAATAAAAATAAAGAACAAAGGCATATGGCCCTTAAAACCTAAAATAGTTGCTATTTTGTTTTGTTTTTGCTGAGGACTGTTGATGACAATCAGTAAAATATTTTTTTTTCTGAACTTTATTTTGCCATACAGCCTGATTATGTTTGTAAATAAAATATTTTCTATTTGGCTGTTTACAGAACAAGTTTGCTGACTTTCGAGTAGATCATACCTGTCACTTTATAAGCCTCAGAGACGAGTGAAATATTCCGAGATTACACAGTTAATTGGTGGTCAAATTGCAAACAGTTTCATTCTCCTTTTAACTGTCTCCATTCCATTATTTTTGTTACAGGGACTGATACCTTGGTGAGATAAGAAAATTTGTGGTACAGAATTTTGCTTACGAATGTTACATATATATATGTGAAAACATTAGGGACAATAATCTACCAACTCTTAGATAACATTGGTGTACAAAAACTTTTTAAATTTAGGTACAGAGGTAGGATTTGATTGTAGTATATATGGTTTCCTGCATATAAATCTTTGCATCGATCTGCTAAGCAGTTGGATAATATGATACTTTTTGTTGCCTGTGCAGCCAAATGGGCGGACTGTTGAATTGGCTGAGGGTGAAGCTGTTCGAACACCTCAAAGTGTAACAGCAAAGCAGCCACCAGAGATTGACAAGAAAAATGAAAAGGTAAGTTTGGGAGCATATGAAATTATATGCAAGGCTCTTAATAGAATGACATAAAAGGATGATGCTTTTCTGTTTCATAAGATTGTATGTATACCCCTCATTTAAAGAAAACTCTGAAAAGCTGAATTAACCATAGTGGATGGGTGGTAAAAGTTTAACTGAGTTGTTTTTGTTTTTTTAAAGGAAAGTTGTATCACCAAATATTTTAAACATTGCTGTGGCAATACTAAATATTCATTATGTCAAAAACAATTCATTCACAACTTGAACATCTTGTGTAAGTTTCCAGATACATAACATATGTATCCTTTATTCAAAAACAGAACTGTGGAATTGTGTTACCTTTGTTAATAGGGCACATCTAGCATGAAAACCTTAGCACAATTGTTCAGTGGTGTTTAGTGTTGAAATAGATTTCTGTTGTGTTGGAAACATAATTGCTTACTAGACATAGATTAACTTCATTTAACAAAAGAAAATGTGGGCCTGGTGCTATATCTCATGCTTGTAATCCTAGCACTTTGGTAGGCCGAAGCGGGTAGATTGCTTGAGCCCGTGAGTTTGAGACCAGCCTGGGCAACATGGCGAAACTTTGTCATTACAGAAAATATGAAAATTAGCCAGGCATGGTGGTACATACCTGTAGTCCTAGCTACTCAGCAGGCTGAGGTGGGAGGATCAGTTTCAGAGAGCCAAGATTGTGCTAATCCACTCCAGCCTGGGCACCCGAGACCCTGTCTCAAAAAGAAAAAAGATATAGCTATAGATTTCATTTGGATGTGAAATTTTCCAAGTAAGGCAATCTATCATACCACGTAAATGGTACATTCCTGGGATTTTATTAATTTTCCAGTTGCTTGGTGTCAGAACTGACTCATTTTTACTTAATCTAGCTTGGAAGTAGGCAAAATGAATAAGAAGTTCTTAACAGTAGTTCCTTCTACTGTGAGAAAAAGACTTTTCATTCAGTTCCCTTTTGTACATTGAATTACCCTCCCTTTCCTTTTTTTTTTTTTAAATGTAGAGACAGGGGTCTCACTGTGTTGCCCACACAACATAGTCTTGAACTGCTAAGCTCAAGTGATCCTTCTGCCTCGGCCTCCCAAAATGCTGGGATTACAGGCATGAGGCACCACATCCAGCGCCCCTCCCTCCTTTTTAAAAAAATCCTGTCTATGCATAGCTCCTTTTCAGGAAAAAAAAAAAAAAAAAAAAAAATGAGACAGTCACCAATAGGTAAGCGGTTTCTAGGAACTACAGTGCAGCAACTGTAGCTTCTTGGAATAGTGGTATGAAATGGTTACTACCGGCTGGGTGCAGTGGCTCACGCCTGTAATCCCAGCACTTTGGGAGCCCGAGGTGGGCGGATCACCTGAGGTCCGGAGTTTGAGACCAGCCTAGCCAACATGATGAAACCCCGTCTCTGCAAAAACAACAAAAATTAGCTGGGTGTGGTGGCACATGCCTGTAATCCCAGCTACTCGGGATGCTGAGGTAGGGGAATGGCTTGAATCCGAGAGATGGAGCTTGCAATGAGCAGGGATTGTGCCACTGCACACCAGCCAGGGCGACAGAGCGAGACTCTGTCCCCAAAAAAAAAAGAAAAAGAAAGACATGGTTGCTACAGTTTCTTAATGCTTCCGATTTCAAAATGTCTTTGAAGAAGTGGTTTAGCCACCAAGACAACTGCCGGCAGAATGGCTTAAAATGAAGGATAGTTTTGGGAAATAATTAAATTTATGTCTGACTTTGTGTTTGGCAGAAAAGTAATGACTTGTGTTAAAAAGTAAGCATGTAACGTAAGGAGTGTGAGTTTATAGAGTGACTAGCTAATATGCCCAATATAGATTTACACATCTCTGACCTAGTGTTTTCTTTTTTCTGGGCTTTCTCTCTATTAGTGAATAATGTATACTTACTCCTGCTTCTACTCCCTGAATTACCCTGAAAATTTTGTAGTTGCAATAATTAAGAAACTACCATTAACTTCTTAGTGATTAATTTATATAAATTGAATGTGACAGGGTATAAAATCACAGCTTAAAGTTTATAATCATTACTTTGAAATGTCTTGTGGTGGGAAATAATTATAATAGTTGACATTTACTTACTTAAGTATAATCTGGCAGGCACCATGCAAGGTGAGGTATGTTTGTATGTATAAATATATTTACATATCTAGTAGGGACAGCTTTTTGAGTACTTACTAGATATACTTTTAAGACTTTATAGTTGTTAAAAAATAATCTATAGATATTTCCTTATTTTCACAAGGGCTCTGAGGTGATGGTACTATATCCATCTTACAAATGAGAAACCTGAGGCTTATGTTATCTGAGCTATTGAAAGTATAGTCAGTTCTAACCCAGATCTATCTGACTTCAAAGTCTTTACTTTTTACTGCCTTATATTATTTCTAATGCTCTCAGAAACTCTGCCAGGCAGATAGTTATAGCCCCATTTTACAGATAAGGGCTCAAGTGCCTAGAGAAATTTTGTGATTTAATTAATTTGATACAGTTGGCCGGGCACAATGGCTCAAGCCTGTAATCCCAGCATTTTGGGAGGCTGAGTCGGGCAGATCACCTGAGGTCAGGAGTTTGAGACCAGCCTGGTCAACATGGTGAAGCCCTGTCTCTGCTGAAAATACAAAAATTAGCCAGGCATGGTGGCATGTGCCTCTAGTCCCAACTACTCAGGGGGCTGAGGCAGAAGAATCACTTGAACACAGGAGGTGGAGGTTGTAGGGAGCTGAGATCATGCCATTGCACTCCAGCCTGGGCGAGAGAGTAAGATTCCGTCTCAAAAAAAAAAAAAAAAAAAAAATGGATGCAATTTCTGGACGAGGATCTGAACCCAGCTTATTCTGATTCCAAAAAGTTCTTTTTGTCATTTAGCAGTGCCACCTTTCAGTTGCTGTTGCTTTTTCAGTACAAAGTTTCTACCTTTGGTTTCTTGCCTATGCTATTTAACTTTTCAAATAATAATAAATGCTACAGCTCATGGCTGGTGTTCTGTTTTTGCCATCCAGTTTTGCATTTCGAATTTGTGCTTTTTAACTTGGTTAGGTCTAGGTAACTCAGTTGATTTTTTATGGTATTGCCCTATGTGTGTATTGCACTTTGTGTTTTAAATAGGTGGTGTTTTTTAGACTTATTTTCTTTCTTCCTTTCCTTTCCTTTCCTTTCCTTTCTTTTCCTGCCTTTCTTCCTTTCCTTTCTTTCTTTTTTTTCTTTCCTTTCTTTGTTCTGTCATTCTTGTTGCCCAGGCTGGAGTGCAGTGGCACAATCTCAGCTCACTGCAACCTCTGCCTCCCAGCTCAAGCAATTCTCCTGCCTCAGCCTCCTGAGCAGCTGGGATTACAGGCACGCACCACCACGCCCAGCTATTTTTTGTATTTTTAGTAGACACGGGGTTTCACCACGTTGACCAGGCTGGTCACAAACTCCTGACCTCAGGTGATCCGCCCACCTCGGCCTCCCAAAGTGCTAGGATTACAGGCATGAGCCATTGCACCCGGCCTACCTTTCCTTACAAAGAAATACATCTTAGATCTTATACACCTTAATATATATTATCATATTTTTGTTTTTGCTCTCTGAGCCATATCTTGGGCACTTTGAGAAGTACAATTTTTGTCTGTAGAGTAGTTGTACTCTTAAGCTGTGATATTGATTACCTTGCCGTATCACTTGATTAAGCCTTGTAGATAAAAGTTTGCCTAGAAACTGTATATGACAAGATCTTAGGTCTGTAAAGCAGGTTAAACTGCCATAGTTTTCTAGGTCTTTATTTGGGTTTGAAGGTCAGTGTTTCATTAGAACTAGTCTCTAGTAGAGTACACGTAGGACCATTAGCCAGACTGAATGCATTGTGCTAATAGATGCTAAAGGTAATAAAAATGTAAGATGTACTTACCCTCAGATTACAGTCTAGTTAAGGAAAGGCAAGCAAAGAGAAGATATCTAGTAATACAAGGCATTAAGTGCTGCGTGTTCAGGGGAGAAAGGTTATCCTACTTGGGTAGCCAGAGAAGATTGACTTAATTAATCTCTGTAAGTATAGGAATGATATTTCAGTAAGTAGGCATGGGGAGACAAGTTTTAGAAGGGAAGAGAAACAAATGAACACAACCTGACATTATTTAGATTAAACAAATGGACATATTCAGACATAAGGGGAAGCCTTAGTCAAGTTTGACTGGTCAAGATAGGGTAGGCATATGATAAAAACTTAGAAATATTCAACTGGCAGCAACATTGATGATTAATGAATCAGTTTTGCGTCTCTGATTGTAAAAAAGTCTTAATGTAGAAATGTAAAGATTGCTAGTGAGAGAAACAACGGAAACAAAATGTGTGAACTTTCGTCACCACCAAATTGTTAGGATGAAGTCAGTGATATCCACTGAACCCTGATATCATTTGTTACAAGTATTAATAAGGTCTTACATTTTTATGATGCTACACAATATACAAAATATTTGTACAAAACATTTTCACATCTCTTAATCCTGATGAACAACTCTGAGGACATTATCATTTCTTTTACGTAGCTCAATAAAGAGTTTTGTGAATTGTCCAGGATCACATAGCTGATAAGTAATACTCCTTCAATTTCTCTAAGGCAGCAATTTTTGAAGCATGGTCAATGAACCCCTAGAAAGGGGCCCTAGGGGCAAAACTATTTTCATAATAATTAAGACATTATTTGCCTTTTTAACTATGTTGATGCTTGCACTGATGGTACAAAAGCAATAATGGGTAAAACTGCTGGCTCCTTATCATGAACCAAGACAGTGGCACCAAACTTCCACTTATTGTATTCTTGTTTTGGTTTGTTTTTGAGACAGCACTCTGTCGCCCAGATTGGAGTGCAGTGGCACGATCTCACTCACTGCAGCCTCCGCCTCCCAGGTTCAAGCAATTCTCCTGCCACAGTTTCCTGAGTAGCTGGAATTATAGGTGCCCGCCACTACCCCCAGCTAATTCTTGTATTTT